CATTGAACTTTATTCAAGTTAAATATTATTTGTAAAGGCATTCAGTTCTTTCTAAACGCTCAAATTATAAAACTGTTTGGGAAGGTAGTTTGTATTTTTTATATATTATGAACAGATAACTGAGTTGAAGGACCTCATTTGATTCTAATAAGTAGCAGGTCTCCCTTCCTTCAGACTTCATCGTGCTCTGAGAAGTACTGAACGCATTTTTTTAGTCGAATATGTTTCTTTCAGATATCTTCACGTTCAACTGTAACGAACGCATGGGCTCGTTACGAGGAGCTCGCGTTGCGTTAATCGCTTGTGGATCTTTCAATCCACCCACTTATATGCATCTACGGATGTTTGAGTGTGCTCGGGATGTGCTGGAAAAGAAGTATGGGTGCGATGTTGTTGAAGGTATTATAAGTCCTGTGTCAGATCATTTCCCGAAACCAGGTCTCCTTCCTTCGAAGCACAGGTTATTTTGGGAAGGGATATTCTTTAATACCATTTAGTAATTGCTTATGTAATGTTCGCAGTTAAGGGTACTGAACTTTAACCTGTTGTGAAGCACTACAAAATAAATGAAATATCATCTTTTTGTTAGCAGTAACTTTTTATTAACAATTCATGAGAAGGACTGAATGATTATGGTCTTTGCTCCTTGTTTACTCTTATTTCATCAAACTTTTTATATGGAAATTTAAAAGTTGTATAATGCTTTGTTTATTTTGTTGTTGATTCAGAAGAAAAGATGCTTACCTTATGATATGAATTATAGTTATTTTGCTAAAATAAATGTAAATACTAGAAATTTTTTCTGTTCATGTTGTGGATGTTTTCTTTTAGGTTGCGTATGGTAGAGTTGGCCACACGTAATTCGAACTGGATCCATGTTGATGACTGGGAATGCGCTCAGGGTACATGGACGAGAACAATTGCTGTTTTAAAGCATTTCAAAATGATGCTATCTAGAAGGGACAGTGGGAACACACATTTAATGTTGCTTTGTGGTGGAGACGTTGTTGATTCTTTTACTAAGTTTACTCCGTCTGGAACTCATTTGTGGGAGCCAGCTGATGTGTCAGAAATTATCAGGGATTTTGGTAGGGTTTTAATTTCTTTTAATTTATTTTTTTTAATGAGGCACTTGTCTTTTTAAGTAACATAAACTATTTCTATTACTGGCTTTTCGCTTTCCAGGTCTTGTCGTTATTTATCGCCGAAATTCTCAACCACAGGCAACTTTCAGAAAGTTGTCGCTTGCTAAGCAGCTTCTGGACAATGTGTATGTAGTTAACGATGACGTTTTACCAAACGATATTAGCTCTACAAGACTGCGAGCAGCAATTAAAAGTGGTCATTCTATAAAATACTGCACGGATGATGCTGTCATTGAGTATATAGCAAGCAATGGTCTTTACCGAGGGGCAGATGATGAGAAAGTTGTAGATAGTAATGAAAGAGAAAAGCTTATTTCGGAACCATCGGTTAGGTGACGTTAAGTAGTTGCTGCTATTGACATGTTTCTGAAGATAATGTGACGTTTGCCGTGCTTCTCATAGTCTTTCAGTGTGGTAGACATAGTTCTGCTAACAAGAATACAATATTAAAATCACTAAGACGCTGAGTATGGTTAAGGAAGGTTACAGAATAAGTTGCTGATGGACTATCACTTACGATACTAAGCCTTTTTTTTTGTCTTTCATATTTTCTTCAAAAATTTGCTTTTTAAACGAGTGGGATTTATTAGTAGTATTCAGCATATTGTTTCAAAAGTTTTGTGATTTTAAAAAGCATATGAGGTTTCAGATTTTGTGAGCAAAAAATCTGAAGTATTTTAAAGTCAGTCTTTCGTTTTCTTACTTAGTAACCCTGAGGAAGAGATCTGCTTTGTAAATTAAAAAAGACTTACAATTGCTTACAAATCTTACTTATGCAGATTTTGTTTTGTAATGTGACGATCTTGTTGAGTAATCAGTCATTTTTCTATTCAAATAATTATAAGGAATATGCACTGTACTGCTACCATTAACCTTTGTTCTTTTACTTTGAGTCCCGAAAAGTATAAATCAACGTGAACGCTAATTATTGATAAACCAGTCACCAAATTTAGGTTCGCTTTTGTTGCTTCATTCACGTTTCAGAGGATTTGATTGGCACTCTTCAAAACAGCTGTTGATAATTAGAAGAAGTGAACACTATTAGCAGTGATGATTAGAATTTAAAATTTTAAAATTTTTTTGGAGTTTTGGTGAGCTGAGTGGTACGTTAATCAGTTACACCTTTTAGAAATTAGTTTTTTTT